GAGAGAAAGCCAAATGCTACCTGTGGTTTAATGCTATGGGCCTTGCAAGAAAACCATAGGCATGTGGAGCCTATTGCATTAGGGTGTGCACCTATATATATATATATATATATATATATATATATATGAGAAAACAAGGGGCTGGCTGCACTCACCTGAACATGCTTAAATGGGGTGCTGCTGGGGGCCAATAAGTACAGTAAAAATGAAAATCCAGCGCACTCCCTTATCTACTAAACAGCTATTTTGGTGCTGACAGATTTTGCAAGTTTTATTAAAAACACCTAATCTAGGCAAAAAATAATGGGGGTTTAGTTACATTATATGATCATACATTGCATGAGCCTGCCACAACGTCAATATACCTCATCTTTGGCAGGTCCTACTCTAACAGCCAACTGTCATTTGTACTTTACTTTTTGGCCCCCAGCAGCACCCCATTTAAGCATGTTCAGGTGAGTGCAGCCAGCCTCTTGTTTTCTTATATATATATATATATATATATATATATATATATATTTATTTATTTAGGAGTCTAGCCAGCTCCTTGGTTTTGCACCCCTCCCTGTCACAGGTGTCTCATCTCAGGACCCTATTTAGCCTTGTACTGCAGAGAACTCGAGATGGAAGGACTTCCCCAAGTGAGTAGCTCATTTAGTAGACAGTTGGCTGTTAGAGTAGGACCTTCCAAAGATGAGGTATATTGACGTTGTGGCAGGCTCATGCAATGTATGATCATATAATGTAACTAAATTTTTTTGCCTAGATTAGGTGTTTTTAATAAAACTAGCAAAATCTGTCAGCACCAAAGTAGATAAGGGAGTGCGCTGGATTTTCATTTTTACACTGAACAAAACTATAAATGCAACACTTTTGTTTTTTCCCCCTTTTTTCATGAGCTGAACTCATGAAAAATACTTTTTCTATGTACACAAAAGACCTATATCTCAAATCTGTCTAAATCTGTGTTAGTGAGCACTTCTCCTTTGCTGAAATAATCCCTCCACCTCACAGGTGTGGCATATCAAGATGCTGACTAGACAGCATGATTATTGCACAGGTGTGCCTTAGGCTGGACAGAATAAAAGACCACTCTAAAATGTGCAGTTTTATCACACAGCACAATACCACAGATGTCGCAAGTTTTAAGGGAGAGTGCAATTGGCATGCTGACTGCAGGAATGTCCACCAGAGCTGTTGCCCATGAATTGAATGGTCATTTCTCTACCATAAGCCGTCTTCAAAGGCATCAGAGAAATTGGCAGTACATCTAACCGGCCTCACAACCGCAGACCAGGTGTAACCACACCAGCCCAGGACCTCCACATCCAGCATCTTCACCTCCAAGATCGTCTGAGACCAGCCACCCGGACAGCTGCTGCAACAATCAGTTTGCATAACCAAAGTATTTCTGCACAAACTGTCAGAAACCATGTCAGGGAAGCTCATCTGCATGCTCGTCATCCTCATCAGGGTCTTGACCTGACTGCAGTTTGTCGTCGTAACGACTTGAGTGGGCAAATGCTCACATTCAATGGCATTTGGCACTTTGGAGAGATGTTCTCTTCACGGATGAATCCCGGTTTTCACTGTACAGGTCAGATGGCAGACAGGGTGTATGGTGTTGTGTGAGTGAGCGGTTTGCTGATGTCAATATTGTGGATCTAGTGGCCCATGGTAGCGGTGGGGTTATGGTATGGGCAGGCTTATGTTATGTATGTAGAGGCAGAAGAAGACATAGATGCATTCCTTCAGGATTTTGAAAGACTGTGTGCCTTGCATAGGATCAGTGCAGAAGACTGGGTTCCCATTTTGGCTGGGTGTTTAACTGGGAGGGCAGAAGCCTATCGTACTGTACTAGATGAGGAAATCAGAGATTACAGTAGAGTGAAAGAAGTTATACTGGCCCGGTATGCTATAACACCAGAGGCATACTGGAGGTGGTTCAGGGACTTAAAGAAAGCTGAGAAAGACTCGCATGCTGAGTGGGCTTGCAGATTACAGCGGGCAGCCCTCGGGTGAGTGCAAGCTAGCAAAGCACGGTCCATGGAGGACGTAATACAAATGCTACTGATGGAACAATTTTATGATGGGGTACCGACCGATGTCCAAGAATGGGTAAGGGACCATAACCCTACATCCCTCACAGAGACGACTACCTGGACGCACGAAGGCAACAGAAACCAGTAGTCCCAAAGACCACAGTAAAAACCTTTGGGGGAACAAACTACCCCACAGTCCCACCGCAACAACTACCACCACCACCACCACCTGCTGCACAACCACAATTTCTCCAGCCTAGCTCTGGGCCCTGTCACCACTGCCAGAAATGGGGGCTTTATAATTGAGAATGCCCACAACTACGGGATCGATCCACCTGGATCCGTCCAGGACCACCACCACCACTGAGAGCAGCCGCAGCAGACTACTACCAGGACGTAATCCCAACACCATATGGTTCAGCAGTTCCCATTCCCACCATGGAACAGTGGGAAGTACTGCACGAGGCAGACCCTGTACAGGCCAACGCGGATAACCGCCAACATCACACACAGACCGTATATCTAGAGGGTAAAGCTGTGCAAGGGCTCCGCGACTCAGGAGCCACTATAACTTTGGTCAAAAGCCACCTGATCTCGGACAAAGCTAAAACCAGCAAGACCGTAGCCGTCAGGATAGCTGGGGGAGCAGTATACCGGCTACCTACAGCAAGGGTTCACCTACATTGGGGAGTGGGGTCAGGAGAGGTGGAGGTGGGGGTTGATGCCGCAATTGCCAGCGGAAGTTTTGCTGGGCAATGATCTGCGAAGGTTCACGTCCGCTTTTGACGTGACCCCAATCACAGGAGAAGCCCATCTTGTGGTCACCAGACAACAGGCCCGCACCCAAGTCCAACACACACTGGCGGAGGTTCAGGTAAGAGATCCTTCCCCTTCAGTAGATTGTGTCCCCTGGGCCCCTCCTAATGAATTTGCAGCAGAGGTGATAACTGATCCCACGTTACAAGTATATAGGGACAAGGTCACAGCAGACCCACCCGGAGGGGAGGGAGAGAGGTTTATGTGGGATAAGCAGCTTTTATAAAGGGAGTCTGACAAGCAGATAGCCGGGTCAGACCAGATAGTTATGAGGCAGTTAGTGGTACTGTCGGACCAGGTACAGACTGACCCAAAGTTTCTTTTGGCCAGGGATCAGCCAGGAAGTGCGCCGATATTGCAGCATTTGCGATACGTGCCAGAAGGTAGGAAAAAGGGGTGACCGGCGCAAGGCCAAGCTACATCCCCTGCCCATAATTGAGGAGCCATTTAGCAGAGTGGCTGTGGATTTAATAGGACCCCTCAAGAAAGCTATCCCTTCAGGAAATAAATATATCCTGACTGTTGTGGACTATGCCATTAGATATCCAAAGGCGGTGGCTCTGACTAATATTCACGCTGAAACGGTAGTTGAGGCCCTCATGCAGATCTTCTCCAGGATGGTATTACCCAAGGAGATCATCTCAGCTCAGGGTACTCAATTCACCGCAGAAGTCACACAACGCCTCTGGAAGTTCTGTGACATTAAGCCGATCATTAGTGCCCCTTACCACCCCCAGACTAATGGGCTCTGCGAACGATTCAATGGTACATTGAAACAAATGCTCTGAACCTTCGCAGAGACTCACAAGGACTGGGAGCAATTCCTGCCCCAACTCCTCTTTGCTTACCAGGAGGTGCCGCAGGAGTCCACCGGGTTTTCCCCGTTCGAATTGTTATTCGAGAGAAGGGTACGGGGGCCACTAGACGTGATTAGAGAGCATTAGGAGGGAGATCGGAGCACCGACGGCACCCCCACCGACGGCATTCCGAGACCGCCTAGAAGCATTGACTAGGACGGTAAGGGAAAACCTTCAGGTGGGTCAGACCCACTAACGCAGATGGTATGATCGGGGCACCAGGGACCGTAGCTTTCAGGTAGGACAGAAAGTGTTAATTTTAAAACCTGTCCGTCATGATAAGTTGCAGGCCGCCTGGCAGGGCCCTTGTAGGGTGGTGGAGCAGAGATGTGACACCACTTATATAATCGGCTCTTGCGTTGGAACTGGAGGGCGCCGCATGCTCCATGTGAACATGATGAAACCCTACCAGGAGCGCTCCGAGGAGGTGACCGCTATATGTGCACCCAACTCGGATGAGGGAGACGGTCAGTTGTCAGGAGATTTAGGGGAGGTTGCACTGGGAGACCGGTTGAGCCCTCAGGAGCGTATCGAGGTACAACAACTGTTAAGAGAGAAGCAAGACACCTTCTCTAATGTACCTGGATTCACTCCTCTGGCCACTCACCGGGTAGAAACCCCAGGACAACTTCCCATGCGCCAGACCCCCTACCGCATCCCTGAAGCGGTGCGGGAAAATATACGCAAGGAGATCGAGGAGATGCTCCAGCTGGGGGTGATTGAACCCTCAGACAGCCCCTGGGCTTCCCTGGTAGTCCTGGTACCAAAACGGGATGGTACGACCCATTTTTGTGTGGACTACCGGAGGCTGAACGAGAAGACCGTGTCGGACGCCTGTCCCATGCCCAGGATAGACGAACTGCTGGATAGGATGGCCAGGGGCCACTACCTCACTACCATTGACTTGTGTAAGGGGTATTGGCAAATTCCCTTGGCCCTGGACGCCATCCCTAAGTCGGCCTTTGTCACCCCATTCGGCTTGTACCAATTTAAGGTCATGCCGTTTGGGATGAAAAACGCCCCGGCTACCTTTCAGCGGATGGTGGACCGCCTCCAAGATGGGTTCCAAGACTATACCTGTGCATATCTAGATGATATTGCCATTTTTATCAAGACCTGGCAGGAGCACTTGGCCCATATAGGAGCGGTCCTAGACAGAATTAGGGAAGCAGGTCTAACGCTGAAGCCAGCCAAATGTAGTATAGGGATGGTCGAGGTACAATACCTGGGCCATCGGTTAGGCTGTGGGAAGCAAAAACCAGAACCAGCCAAAGTAGAGGCCGTAGCCCAATGGCCCACCCCTAGGACTAGGACAGGTGTTGGCGTTTTTAGGAACAGCAGGGTATTATCGGAAATTCATCCCTAACTATAGCGCCCTGGCCAAACCCATGACCAACCTGACCCGTAAGAACCTTTCCTGCCAAGTAACCTGGACCCCAGAGTGTGAGCAGGCATTCCAGCACCTGAAAAATGCACTGATAAATGCCCCTGTCTTGGCAGCTCCCAATCCAACTAAACATTTTCTTGTTCACACAGACGCTTCTATGTTTGGATTGGGAGCAGTACTGAGCCAAGTCGGTGCCGATGGCGGAGAACATCCCGTAGCTTACATCAGTCGCAAGTTGTTACCCAGAGAAGGAAGCTGCGCCGTCGTCGAGAAGGAATGCCTGGCTGTGGTGTGGGCCCTGAAGAAATTGCAGCCGTATTTGTATGGACAGCCGTTTTCCTTGCTCACGGATCACAACCTGTTAGTATGGCTGAACCGGGTGTCCGGAGACAATGCCAGGCTGCTGCGCTGGAGTTTGGCGCTGCAGCCCTTTGACTTTAACATTCAGTACCGCCCGGGCAAACAGAATGGGAACGCTGACGGGTTGTCAGGACAAACAGACCTGGAGAAATGATCCGTGAGCATCCCTGGACATCCCCAAGCCGATCCGTGTTGAATCAGACTGTGTATGCCGGCTTGTGGGCAAGGGGGAGCAGTGTAGCGGATGGTACTGTGGCTGTCCTGAAAGACTATGAGAATCCTGCAATTCGTGTGTTGTTTCTGCTTTGTATTTAATTGTAAGTAGCATTCGTATGATTGTTTGGTAGTTTCCATCGGTATTTCATACGAATGGAAACTACCGAACTAATAGACCACCCCAGAGTGAAGCGTGTCCCTCGTTAAGCTATAAAGTACTTGCTAACCGCAGACTAATAGGTGGTTTATGGATTTATCGGGGTGGCCGCCATTCGGCATGCGAACACGTGGCGGCGGCCATCTTACGCACGAAAGGCTCAGCGGTGTTTGGTCATCGAGTGTCTGGAACTCAAATCGGACACTTGATTAGCCGAACACCGCTGACACCTCCAGAGCTCCATAACTCACGAACGGGAAGATGAATCAGCCCCCCTGAGTTTTCTTATAGCTGCATCCTATGAGTTTTCCTCTGGCAAAATCTCCACCAGATACATAACGCTTGAGAGGTATGCCTTTTTTAGTGTTTTTGGTCGATAAGATTCTGTACGTAGGCCCCTCATAATTGTCAGCACCAGGCTTAATGGCCTCTTAATCTGGCCCTGCCCCCAATACAGTAAACCTGCACATTTTAGAGTGGCCTTTTATTGTGGCCAGCCAAAGGCACACCTGTGCAATAATCATGCTGTCTAATCAGCATCTTGATATGCCACACCTGTGAGGTGGATGGATTACCTCGGCAAAGGAGAAGTGCTCCCTAACACAGATTTAGACAGATTTGTGAACAATATTTGAGAGAAATATGCCTTTTGTGTACATAGAAAAAGTCTTAGATCTTTGAGTTCAGCTCGTGAAAAATGGGGGCAAAAACATTTATAATTTTGTTCAGTGTATTTACACATACATATATATATATATATATATATATATATATATATATATACACATACATACATACATACATATACACACACATATACAAATACACTCTTGCATACATACACAGACCCGCACTCAAATGAATATCAATACAAACAAACATTGTTGTGATCCATCATCCATTCTGCTGCCTGCAGAAATCACTCAGCTGGGGTCCCGGGGAGCCTGTGCCTGTCTGCTCTGACGATTCTCCTTATCTGCTGCCGTAACTTTCCTTGCTGACTCCTTGCTCTTTCATGTCCATTTCCCCATACTTCACATCCCCCATATTTCATGTCCATTTCCCCCCCCATTTCATGTCTATTCCACCATTTCATGTCCACCCCCCCACTACTGACTCACTGAGAGGAAGTGCGGTGAAATCTATATCATAGAATCACTAGTAGTACTAATGAGTCTATTATAAAGATTTCACCCCCTCCCTCATTCCATTCACTTACCTGGTCCTGGGAGCTCCTCTCTCTTTCCTTCCACACGGCCGTCTGCAAAGAGTGCTGGGAGGAAGTGATGTCATCGCTGGTGACCTCACTTCCTCGCAGTGCTGGGAGGGGAGGGAGAGAGGGAGGGTTGCCGCTTGCACATTTTCACTTGTGGGCAGCAAATGCGGGGCCCGCGGCTCTGGCAAAGTGGGGAAGCCACTCTTCACTACAATGGGGCCCAGCTCATTCCGGGACATTACAAAATGTGGGAGTTGGGCACCCTAGATTAGGGTGTGCCCAGGCAGACCCGGCACACCCCGTGCGCACGCCTATGAAGCAAACCTTCTCTCCCGGGCCTTTCAGAAGCTATGGGAGCAATTCTGGCATAAGATCCAATGACTAGCTGCGAGAGCTGCACAAACATCTTAGTTCTACCGCCAGTTGGGCACAACACTGACACAAAATCGACGGTTAAGAAACAGGGGCAGACACATCAGAAGGCACTAGAGAGCTAAAAGCTACCCACTACCTTCCTCGGCCATGGTCCAACCTGGGACAATACACCAAACACAATTCACTCCCTCGGAAGACCAAGTCTCACCTTTCCAGCATGAATTCTGATAAAAAGCCTTGAGATCAAATCCTGCGTGATACTGGCAACGGGACCAGTGAGACTAATGCTCTGGACTGTATTAAGGTAATCAGTAGGACTTGTGTCACTATTCTAAACCATGGTAGCACCCACTACATGAGAGGTATAGGCTGAATTTCCCCACTCCCCTGCTGACCTCTGTAGAGTTTGCTCACCACATACTTTCACCATCTGGAGTCCTGATTTATAGCGACACATACAGATCGGGAAGAGGGACTTACAGCCCTCCAGCAACATTGGGGGAAGCACCCTTGACCGCATGATACACCTTCATCTTGTGAGTGCATTAATTTATAGCACACACTTTGAATTTAATTTGTATTACACTATATTTTGTTTATGTTTTTTTCTTTAAATGTAACAGCCGTATGCCACATGTTTGTTTTGTCTATATTCTGGTTTATGTGAGATCATTACCTGGAAAGTTATCTTGGGGAGGCTGTCCATTTTGACGTATTAGTATATTACATACTTGTTGTTTTTCTATTCTCACATCTATATTGTGGTGATAGTTTTTTTCGTTTGCATATTGGCTCACCAAATGCCTGTAGATAGTTGCCACTCACTTTGTTTCTATTGATTAATCTCACCTGCCGTTCCCATGCATATTTAGACCTCAGTGGTACCACTCATTGTTTATTTTAACGTATTCCATGCCAGGGATTACTGTATCCAGGGCTGGCCTTAGGGGTGTGCAAGCTGTGCGATTGCAGAGGGCGCCATGGAGCAGGGGGCGCCATGAGGCCGACATAGCTCACACATTGTCTGTGTCAGGGGAGCTAAAACAGGTATATATATTAAAAAAAAAATCTTGGCAGCAGGGGTGGAGCTTATCCCAAGACGGAGGCGGAGCCAATACCTACCCGAAGCCCCTGGTAACAGCTGCACAGGAACGAGGTAATGGAAAGAGGTAAGTCTGTGTGTGTGACTGCCTGGCTATTTGTGACTGTTTGCCTGTGTGTGTGTGTGGCTGTCTGTGTGTGTGACTGCCTGGCTATTTCTGACTGTTTGCCTGTGTGTGTGTGTGTGTGCCTGTTTGTGTTTGTGACTGTTTGCCTGTGTGTGTCTGCCTGCCTGTGTGTGTGACTGCCTGCCTGTGTGTCTGCCTGCCTGTGTGTGTGACTGTGTGTCTGACTACATGCCTGTGTTTGTGACTGCCTGCCTGCCTGTGTTTGTGACTGCCTGCCTGTGTGTGTCTGTGTGACTGCCTGACTGTGTGTGTGTGACTGTCTGTCTGGCTGCATACGTGTGTGTGTGACTGACTGCCTGTGTGTGTGACTGTCTGCCTGCCTGCCTGCCTGTGTTTGTGACTACCTGCCTGTGTTTGTGTGTGTGTGACTGTCTGTCTGACTACCTGCCTGTGTGTGTGAATGTCTGTCTGTGTGATTGCCTGCCTGTGTCTGTGATTGTCTGTCTGTGTGAATGCCTGCCTGTGTGTGTCTGCCTGCCTGTGTGTGTGCGTAACTGTCTGTCTGTGTGACTGCCTGCCTGTGTGTGTGACTGTCTGTCTGACTGTCTGTGTGTGACTGTCTGTCTGACTGTCTGTGTGTGACTGTTTGCCTGTGTGTGTGTGTGCGTGTGGCTGTCTGTCTGTGTGAGTGCCTCTGTGTGTGTGTGGCTGGCTGTCTGTCTGTGTGAATGCCTGACTGTGTGTGTCTGCCTGCCTGTGTGTGTGCGTAACTGTCTGTCTGTGTGACTGCCTGCCTGTGTGTGTGACTGTCTGTCTGACTGTCTGTGTGTGACTGTTTGCCTGTGTGTGTCTGTGTGACTGCCTGCCTGTGTGTGTGTGTGTGGCTGTCTGTCTGTGTGACTGCCTCTGTGTGTGTGTGGCTGTCTGTCTGTGTGACTGTCTCTGTGTGTGTGTGTGGCTGTCTGCCTGCCTGTGTGTGACAGTTTGCCTGTGTGTGTGCCTGTGCATGTGACTATCTGCCTTTAACTGTGTGTGTGTGTGCCTATCAGCGTGTGTGAGTGTCTGCATGCCTGTAACTGAGTGTGTGACTGCTTTTTATGGCGCATGTGTGACTGTCTGCTTGTGACTGTGTGTGTGACTGTATGCCTGTGACTGTGTGTGTGCCTGTAACTGTTTGTGATTGTATGCATGTAACTGTGTGTGACTGTCTGCCTCTAACTGTGTGTTTGGCTCTGTGACTGTCTGCCTGTAACTGAGCATGTGTGACTGTCTGTCTGTAACTATGTGTGTGTGACTTTCTGCCTGTAACTGAGCGTGTCTGACTGTATGCTTTGTAACTGTTAGTGTGACTGTCTGCCTGTGTGTGTGACTGCATACAGGCAACATGGTTGGGAGGGGGGGCCGCTGTGAAGACTTTTCGCACAGGGTGCCTAATGGCCTAAGGCCGGCCCTGACTGTATCTACATTACCTCTTAACCATGCTAGTTGGGTTAGCATGAACCCCTGTTGAATTGCCTGTGCCTATCTAGTCTTTTAATCAGAGATGCTAGTCTCAGTTACCAGATTAGAGATGTATGCAGAGTTGTTTTTGTTTAGTTTTTTTTCTTGCATTTTATTAAACATAGCAGCCTAATTCAGGGGGGAATGGCACACATGTGAT